CGTAAATCTCGTCCCCGTTGCGACACGGACAAAAAGAGAACGATGTATGAAGGGTAAGAGAGAAAGAGAAGGACGAAAAGGGAGCCAAAAAGACATTGATTAGGAAAGAGATGAAGTATATTCACTTCAACAACTTTTTTTTTACAGGGAGTGTTTAAGCGTGCGTGATTAATAACATTTATTCAACAATTATTTTAAATTTGATTAAAAATTTAAAATCTTATAATACAAATTTTTGTAGAAATATTTAAATCAATAAAGTTTAAGTTATTCTTTTAGAAACGCCTTAAACTATATGCAACCTATTTAGCATTTTATTTTACACTTCGAAAAGGTAAAAGAGATAGATGGTTGAGATTTCTTATATTTTATTTGTTATCTTAACCTGGTTAATGTTTTGAATTGTATACTTAACAGAAATTTATCTTGGATTGTTTTAATTTAATGACAGTTGAAATTTGATAATATAAATTTTCAGATTCACTATTGCAAATACAACACCAAATGTACTACAATATCATATAAATGTACCACGGGTTATCTAAAAAAATTTTACCACATGGTATTAATGTGGTAATCTCATCTTTCTTTGGTTCTCAATATATGTGCTCATACTGCTCATTGTAATGAGATGTTTTGAGACGGAGCGGAAGATTGTCTACAACAAAATTCTGCAACATATCTATGGGGATGTTCATGGCGAATTATTGTTTTCCAAATGAAGCAACTACGTTTATTCGCGCTGCCACTAACAAGAAACTTGACTTCATCCGATATCTTTAAAAATTTTAGTCTATAATTGTCATTTCTAACAATATTTTTGCAGTTCATACACGACCGTTTCTGAACGCTACGACGCCGACGTTACGAGCAGTTCTGAATTCGTAAAACTCTTGCCTAAGTCATTCCAGCTTCCATTACTAACCTCTTACTTCACATTCTCCTAATCATTGTGCCTTGAACATTTATGTATAATGTTATCTTCCGTTCGATTATTCTGGGACATCCACTGCTTCGATTACAGTCATTAGTCACAGACTGTTGTGTGCACAAATGTCTCATGTACTAAACGGATAATTAAATGACTTACCTTTAGTAATACCTCCTTCTGAAGGCATTGCTAAAATGTTTTTTTTACTGGTGAAGGTAATCCAAACATTTCGATTCGCCTACTATAAACTCCAAAGTAAATAGTGTGGTGTTGTATAGTCTGCAATTACAAATTAAAAATGCTGTGGTGGATACACATAAATGGTAACATCAGTTTGGACAATCTGGTATATACCTACAGTATATCAAGGGCGTAGATAAGGGGGGGAGGGTAAAGGGGGTTATTACCCCCTCACCCCCCACCCCAGAATAAAGAAAAGAAAATGTGTACTTTCATATAATTTTATATTTTTTAATTTACTACTACTTTAGGGCTTTAGAAATAATTGTATTTCTAATTTCTGACGTTAATGTTTATTTTATTTTCCCCCATAAACCTTGATTCTAAGCACTATTTGGCAAGCATAACGCTGTAATGTTTCTAAATTACCCCCCCTAGAAATAAAAGATATCTACGCCCTTGCAGTGTATAGATAAAATCATTGTATATATACCAGAAATATATGACTAATCTTGATCAACAAGTATGAATTTGTTTTCACCATCGGGGTAAGACTCAAAATCTACCAATTGAGATCGGGAGTTGGATTCAAACGATGAATAAAGCTTTACAGTAACACCTTTTTGCTTTTTTTGTCATAACTCACAAGGTGAATATAGGTTGCTATATCCTTACGTGTTATGTGTTATTGTGGTCGATCCGAGATTTCATCCGTTCTTCCTGTTGGTTCCCTTTGGAAAGGGACAGACGTTTCGCCAAGATCTCACCTGGCATCTTCAGTGCGTTGTCGTAGTCTCCTATCGGCAGACTACTTGCACAGAACAGTAGTACAGGACTACTTGTTATGTTTTTATAGTATATACGTAGGTACCTTTTTTATCATGCCATCTTTTCCGCCATGTCCAATTCTTATATGTATTTCGTGCAATATGTCGAATAACTGTCTGTCACTTTCCTAGTAAACTATATTTCTTGCAGTATCTTTAACAGAAAAAATTGCTACTTTCGTCTATACTAAAAATATACTATTAACAACCAATAATCACAAGAAATTCCGTGGTGGTATTTTTGCTGTGTCGATCTTTTTGAAAAATACTTTGTAACGTTGATGTTCAATATAAACAGTATTTTTTATATACTATTCTGTATGAACAGTATTATTCAACAGTATTATTGCAAGGAAAATACAAAAGAGATATTAATTTTCATTTTTAGAGTGGTTGATACGATCTCGAAATATGATTATGTATAATGCTAGATAATTTGCATATTTTCAAATACATTAAATTAGTAAATAATATAATTCATACATAAACTATTTAGGTATATGTGTGTAGTATTCTAAGAATGTTGTATGTTTCTCTCAAATTGAGGTTATGTGCACAAATTACAATCAATTTCCACAATTCGTTAGTAAACCATAAATTAATACAAAACTTTATCGTAAAATGAACACTCCAGCTTCAATTCTTCGGAAACATCCAGAAGGTCTGGTGCCATGTGGTTTCCTTATCTAGCGATTTTCAGTAATCTGTGTTCTGGCATTCTCCCGACATATTCTTTGACTGTGACCTGCACCCCATATTTTTCTCTTGTGTATTCGCTTCTTATTCGGTCTAGCAAAGAGAAACCAGAAATTGATAGAACAGTTTCTAACTCTGTAGTTCAGAGATGTCTATTGGTTTTGGTGTTTCCAGAACTTATTTCATTGACGTATGTCATCACCGATCTCACAACCCTCACTTTTCTTTTTATTTGTAAGTGTTTGTTCCTCTACTATATTACATCCCAGAGGTACAGCAATACCACCACTGCATTTGTATTCTGACTTCTTCTTTCAGGTCTCTATTACTAGTGATATGCGAGATATTGCAACCGCATGACCTGATACAATTATAAACTGCTAGTTTACACCTTCTTGGGTATTCGAAATTTCCGTATTATACTTCTCTCCAGTTTTCTCTCATTTAAACAGCAATATTTGGAGGATATCTTCTTTTCGCCCGACTGGTACCCTTTCCCACCACTCATCGCTTCTTCCATTATTATGTCCATCACTAAATTGAATAGAGCCGGGCTGAGGCTATCTCCCTGCTTTACTTCAATTGCAATTGTTATACCTTAATATGGCCTTCTTAGTTATTTGTCAGATATCGAAGATTGCAACTATAGTAGATGTTGAATCTCGTTTTTTCTGAAAAAAATACTGTTATCGTTTTTTCATTGTTACCTAGTGAGTGCTTGAGGAAGTTCTGTATTTTTCTCGATTTCTGCCATGTCTTCGTTCAGTTTTCTAATGTATTTTTCAATCATCCGCTTTTATCTTTGTGGTCTGTACAAACTCGCTTGTTTCTCTCTGTTTCCTCTAACCGCCGTATATGTCACTCACCATATCTTTCGTAAATTTTTCCAGTAGCTTTCCTTGATTGATTGGATGTTTGAGGTTTTCCGTTTCTCTACTTCATATTTTTCGTATGTTATTGCGCCTGATCTATTCAGTAAATAGGGTGTTCGTTTTTTCGCAACCAGATCTTTCACTTGTTGTGTGAACTAAGGCTTTGTGTTTTGTCCTGCATTTCCTGATGTGACTCTTCTTCCTAATGCTTCATCTACTGATTTAATTATATTTGAGTATAGTTTTTTCCATGGTGTTTCAGTGTCGTCGTTATCCTGTATTCTATTCGTCGATATTCTGTAATCAAATGTTAGAATTTCTCATAACTCTTTACTGCGAATAACAATTAACAATATTTTTGGCTTGGTATCTAAACAACATGATATAATATATTCTCAAATGACCAATGTTGCGTAGTCAATGAAAAGTGTAGAAAATCAAAATACTTTAGGACTTGAAGGTAACCTAATAATAGCACTAGTCATAAGAGACTGTGTAAAGATACAAACATCCGTAGATTTAAGATGCAGTCACAATAACTCATAGATTGGGTAGATAATGAATTCTATTGAAGTGACAACATACAACAGCCTTCAGTGGATATAATGAATGTGTAGAATAATTTTAAGACTCAAAATGTTAAAAAGGTAATCCACAAAGACTCAAAAAAAAACAGTTATAGGTAAAAATATATGTAACATACGTTTATTAAATTCTTCGTATGTAAGGATCGTTGATACAACAACTTCAGCATATATTTTCCACGGATATGTGGTACACCTAGGAAGGCATTGAAACTATATACTATTTATTGATAAAGAAAATGTAAAAAAAAAATAAATTTAGTGTTTTTAATCTTACTGCAAATTATTTATTAATCATTTTAACATTACATTAGTCTATATATTAAATAGATAATAAATTATCATTGTATTTTACACACATCCTAAAGTATTATTATATTATACATTCAATTTAATAATATATACTTTTTGAATTATGGAAGACAGACCATGGCAAATTTATTTCGATAATATTTTATGAACAGCATCGAGTCTTTACAGAACCCTTTTCTAAAATATTTAATTTTCTTTTTTTCATTAGACAATTTTTTTTGTAATCATTAATATTAATTAAAACTCATTTTGTTCGTAAAATATTATCGCATCTTACAAATACAAGCATACACGATATAAGAATACGTGTTTTGAATTTTTAATCTTTATTATACCTTTTTGCATACTTTTAAATCTATATCTATAACTGTTTGATATGATTTTTTAGAACCTTAATTTTAATAACACATCGTTTTATAAGAATAAAAATTAATTTACTGGTGATATCTCTGAAAAATATATACCATTTTATAAAAAAAGATAAGAATAGTGTTGCATTTTACATTACAAGTAAAAAAGATAAAAAATCTTATTTTCCTGAATATTATTTAATAATAAACTTATTAAAGCTAGTATATACAATAAGATTTTTTTGTTTATTTTTATAAATATAATTGAAATATATTGACTTTAAACTTTTACTTTTTTGATATAATAAGTATCAAAGCGCCAAATAAGATTGAAAAATAAGCATGTAATCGCAACGTTAAATGTTTCTTAAGCAAATTACGTCTAAAACTTTTATCGTAGTAATACTGATTTTTAACAATGCTCAACGTTTGTTAACATTTAAATTTATTAATCCCATCGAAAAAAAACTCATTCCGTATTGGTCCGTTTCCGCTTATTAGTTTATTTTTGAGTCAGTTGCCCGTGTTTAGTTTTTGTTTATTTATGAACACGATCTACGGTAAAATCTAATTCTTCTTCATTGCTTTGGACTTTAAGTTGTTCTAACAAATTTAAGGTACCAATTTAAAATTTGTATTCTAAAATGAATAAGTTGAAATTTATTGTTGCTACTTAAGTAATTTAAATGCGTTCCAAATTTGTTCCACCCGTTAACATTGACATGCTTTCTTATTTTTGTGGTCTTTAAAATATAAACTTGTTTAAATTAATATCGATTTAAATAAATAAACCTTATTATTTCTTCAATTAAGTACCTTGTACATTTTTTTAGATGATCTCAAAAATTACAAAAGAAATGGACTACCAACAATTTAATTATGAATATGTCTCTTATTCCATTGTGTTATATTGGACCTTCTTTACTTTAAAATATCTAAAAACACCGTATCCACCAACTGTTAACAAAACAGCGATAGCTAATGTTGATCCAACAGCAATTGGGGCAGTTTCATCTCGAAAACCCAATTGAGCATTGCAAGCGAAAGGCGGTCCAAAATTGGTACCTTTGTACATAAACGGTTGAAGTTGAAATGCTCGAAGGAAAATTTTTCCACGAAGATCTTGTTGTAGGAAATCTTCATCGGGAGATTCAAGATCTATCACTGATTCATCGCATGAAAATGAATTGCTTACTGGTGTAGGGAAAAGCATTTGCTTATGCACAAGTTTAAAAGTTTTCTCTAAAATAAAAGTCAAGTATTAGAAAGAATCAAAATAATTTTTTTTGAAGCATACCAAATGTTTTTAAATGTCGATATGGTTCTAAATCTTTACTAACAGTTAATTCCAATTTGCTGATGTACCATCTTTCTCCACCAGGAGTCTAAAACAAAATACATTAATTAAGTTAATGAAGTTTTGGAAGTAAAATGTAAGATATAAAATAGCAAATCATTTTAAAGATAATATGTTTACCAGAAAGGAAAATATAATAGCACATTTGTTTGATATCTAAAAAAATTGAAATCTAGTCTTTATAAGTTTCTCTATGTGTTATATTTAATATGTCTCATAACTTCTTCAATCGAAACAGATCGAGAATTCAGGGTCTTTTAAGTTTCCCTATAGATGTTGGTTATTTTCTAACATTATCTTTTGATATTTAATAAACACCTTTTCTCACGATGTTTAATTTACTCCAACATTTACAGCTACCATTAATGATATGTTGTAATTCTTCGTTTCCTGACAAAACTTTCGTACGTCTTTTATTTGAAAACTCGACCATATCCTTGTTGTATACTCTATGCTTACATTGCCTATCTAGTAATTCTTCAAAGAATTCATACTTCTTTTTCTTTAATACTTACATCCTCAATTATTATTTTCATAATGCACTTCAGTTGATTACTGTACAATTTCTCTATCTTTAATTTCTGACCTTTACTTTCAATGGGATTATGTAAACTTATTATGTGCAGCATGTGATATGTTCTACGTATTGTTAAAGAATATAGCCCGAAAAAAATTATTTTATGACTAATAATTCTACGCCACTGCCAAAAAAGGTATAGTTATCCGTTCTAATTACGTCTATTTCCCTTCACTATGCTTCTTGTTACACTAATAATAATAGTTATTATCCCAAAGAAATCCTAATGACATTACACAACTCAACAAAGTTGGAGCTCGATTTGGTAGACAATCTAGGGAGTCTGTACTTTAACAAATAGAATATTTCTGGAAAAAGCTCATTTTTTGCAGACCGTCGAAACAGCTCTGCGTGAATCTCTGTACGGTCTTACATATAGAGTCAGTCCTACGTGAGTGTACACTCAAAATCTGCAATAACTCTGGTCACTTTTTAAATCCCGACGATTTTAGAAGAAAGCGTTGAAAATGTTACGCAGAGCAACATCTCCTGCTCTGTCAAGTTTGAAAGTATATTATTTGGAGATAAGAAGAAATTACCGTCTAAACAAAAAGAGTGCTCTCAGATTATACTGGGAATTCTATATGTATATCCTATTTATTCAATTAAAATTGAATTAACTAAAATATTAAAAATAGTGTTCAATTTAAGATTGTAGTTATCAGAAATTTTGTCATTTAAAATTGAAAATTAGATCATTTGTACTGCATCTGCAAGTTGTATATGTTTTGAAAAATTCATGAAATTTTCCCAACTCAACCCAAGGTCTTTAGTAATTAATTTCATCGAGGTGGAATCATTTCATCACATATTCCACTGGGTTCCACTTTTACACTGGGTTTGATAACCTTTTCCAAGGCAAATACAATAACTTTATTAGGTATTTCTCCAGGACGCACTTCATAGTAATCCTAGAAAAGATGCCACAAAGCACGATTGTAAAATCCTATTCACATTTTACGATAAAATAGATGATTAGATTTTATTTGTAAGTTCTTAAATGGCATACTTTAAGAATAATTAAAATTGGATTGATGTTCATCCAAAAAGTGTATTCCAGAAAACTTCACAGTGTTTTTATATATGTCCAATAGCCAAATCATATGCAATGTTAGAATATTTAACATTCGATTTTTATAATGGGCATTCGATACAATGCCCATTTGTATCAATAAAATGCAAGGCTGATATTAACCAACAATATAAAAACTTTTATAGATATTGTTGAAAACTAAAATGTCCAATTATTTTATATTGATCAATAACTATGTCGTTTACCCTATACATATAAATTTAATCAGTCACGTCGTTTATTTCTTTTGAAGAATTTAATTTAGAGTACTTTAACTAAAAGATAAAAATTGGAAAATACTATGATAAAAATTCTGCCAAACAGTTAACATGAAATTGCTATCGAAATTAGTAGAGTGCTAAATTCCATTATCAAATGGAAACAATTTGTGAAATTAGAGTTCCAGGTACTCTCTTCGCATTAGCAAATTTTTTAATGAAATTTGTGCTGGACGAAAGTATGGCAAATTGAAATTGGACGTTTGAAACATTACCTGAATTGGAACGGGCATATGAAGCAGTTAGCAAATTACGTAGGTAACAAATTTTAAACCAGGAAAAATATTTCAAATTTGAGGGAGATTGAAAAAAATGTCATTTTAAAAATTAACAGCAAATGTTTGGAATAGGATATTGATTCACAATCAGTTAATGTTTTAATTAAAGCATATTCATGAGTATCTTCTGAATATATCTATGTATAATATACTCATCATCTTCAGATGAGTATTATGGGTGCCTTCGTTGTTTCATCCATTTAAAATTTTTCATGACACACTCACAAAAATACATGTCGTATTCATGATACAATTAACATGTGTGATTCAATAGATCAACTTTTGATCACTGTGAGACAAGTGGAGAAGAGTAAACTCCCTCCTATCACGCAGAATTCTGTTCTGGTAAGATGAAGTATATTTCAGTTTTTGACAAAAATAAACTAATTGACATTTGCGACCAGTTTCTAAGAAACCAAATCGTTCATGAAGTAAAAAAAGTCAAGGTTTTTCTGGAAAATTCAAAATTGTTCTTCAACTTTTCAGGAAATCGTAAAATAATGTTTCACATAAATGATTTATTTCTGTTATACGAAACGCGATAGTCGACAAAATACAATTATTTTGTTATTTCTTTCAGCTTTGGATGGATTTGTAAATATACATGTAAAAGTTGGAAGAGCAACATGCTCTCGGATTTGTTGTATGTTTTAATAATGTACTCCTGAAAGATATTTTGTAAACAACTGCAAATCATACAGTAATAGCATTACTGTAACAACATTATTCTATTTTAGATTGGATTAAATCTTTTTGTAAGTATTACAATTTTGTATTTACTTGTTTAGGTACGACAATATCCCAAGGCGATCGTTGTTAATTTAATATACAGGTGGAGTACACAAAATGTAAATAATTTCATAAAAACTAAAATGTATTTAGCATCTGGCGAAAAAATAAATTTAGATTCGAGATTAGAAGTAAGACTAGTTTTCGTTGACTTTATAATTATGACTCAACTCAAATTGATAAATCATAAAAAAAATTAATAGATTTTGATATATCAAAAATAATTGATTCAAAGATTTCTATTTCTTTTTGACTCAATCTTATATATTTACGGCGAATGTAATCTAATAGAGCATAAATAAAATATAAGGAATTTCAATTTAACATCGTTTATATTACCACCACTGTGGTAATAAATGTTAGAATAACTTCTATTTTCTCAGACGGTTTACTCCCAAAAGAGGAGTTAAATGTATAAAGCTTTCATGAGATAACCGACAGTTTTAGAACTCCCAGCTTGAAATCGTTATTTACCTTAGCAAATTCCCAGTACAGACTGTAACCATTCCAAGATAATCTCATTGAAGCATCGTCTTCTTGGCAGTTACCATCGATTATTGGATAATCTGGCATGTAAGTATCACCTTTTTCTTCGTCGATCGCAGATTTATAAGTTATCTAAAAAAATATAGAAATTAAAAATTTTACAAAATTTAAAACTTTGTGAAAATTTACTTCGATCAATCCATCTGTTTTTAATAAAATACAGGTCGCTCCGTTACTTTTTACTCTATATAAGGAAATTCCAGAATTAGCCGTAGCAGGTAAATTATCCGGTGTCACCAAAGAACCGCTTCCTGGAGCTGGAGTAGATAAACTGTATTTGGTATGGCGAGGTTTTGATGTTACCATGTAAGGTAATGTCAGCGAGGAAACATTTAAAAAGACGATACCTAAGAAGTAGAGAAAAAAGTTGCTTTCAATAAGTAGCTTGGAGGTAACATATTTCTATTCATTCCATTTAGTTCATATCGATTTTGAACAAAAAAAAATGTAAGTAAACAATTTTATTTATTCAGTAAATTTTTATTAAAAGTTATGTTACAATTTCTTCTTTATTATGTTTTTTTCTTTATTATTTTTAAACTTGATATTTTGAAATAACAAAAATAGGAATGACCTCGAAACAATTTTTATACAGAACAACAATTAAATTGTCCTTTTTTCATGAACATTTTTACAAATTAATAAAATTTTATAAATAAAATTGCATTCGTGTTTTTTAGGCCGAAAATTTTCATTAAATTGCTTTTTACATGTAATTACGAAAATTGTTGCAACTTTACCATATCTTTAGATAGAAATTCTTTTATAGGACATTAACTAACGAATCTTATTTCTACAAACTTTAAAATCTTATAATTTATAAAAGTAATTAAGAAAATTGGTTGAACTTCATCATATCTTAAGAAAAGAAATTAAATTAGTTCGTAATACGAAAAAGTATTTTTAGGACAAACATCTCGAATAATAAATGTTCCGAATTTGATTAATGTGTGTTAATTGTGTAGTGTACATTTCTTTTGAAAACTTTATAGGTAGGTAAATGTATTTCAACCACATTATACTATTTAATTCATTTCCAATTAACCGCTGACCTTTTATTTCATTAATATTTATTTAGGTTCATCAAATTAACTAGATACCAAATCTATCATCACGAAACTACTTCCCTCGAAAGTACTCTTCTAATTGAGTTAATGGAAATTGCCAGAATCATAACAATTCATCCCAGACACAAGGTCAAAATGTGATGGCTGTTTTTGGTAAATATAGGTCATGAAATGCTAGGTCACAGGTTATCTTATAATGGTAATACATCAATTTAGTCAATACTAACAATAAAATTATAGATTCAACTTAATCTAAACAATCTTTCACCTTACTTATAGAATTTTCAAACGGGTTTATATTGAAAATATTATATAAAAATGAAAATCATAATTCATGTATTTAAGGAAATAAAAATAAACAATTGATTTTTATACTTACTTAACACAAGATATGTAAAATAAACAAGGCCCACCTTTTTGGCCATGCCGAACTGTTATGTTTCAGGCGTTATGCACCACCTGAAAGAACGTACTTGGAAATACTAGAACGAGTCCCACGCAAACCCTTATGGAAATCCAACTGGCGCTCCTACGCAATACTACACAACGATATCAATAACAAGACGCTTGCGCTCTCCATGAAAAACGTGGGCGGACCTATAGCTTCCAATGGTTTAACCCAACGTTGAAAGGGACACGTGCTATATTCAGCTATATGGAGGAGTTATTTGGTAAAAACGTGGGCTTTCCATTATACCTTCAGAGATTACTTTCATTAATGGAATACTTTCGAGTCACACATTTCGAGCGATAAAAATAACCTAATAAATATAAATAACTAGCAAACTTGGGACACTCATCTCATCTCAAAATGAAAATGTTATCAGCAAAACTACATTTTCGTATGTTTATGTTTATGTAAGATTCTAGTTGGATTTTCGTGTAGTTGCAGAAGTCTGACATTTAATTTCATTAAAATTCATTAAAACATTTAATCGCGAAAAATGTTAAAGCCGGAGATTGTGAATTGAAATGAATTTATTAAGAATACTGACGATGTAATTCTGTGAAATGTATTAAATGTTTTTTTTTTAATTTCACTGTTTCTGTAATTGCAGATAAACGTTAAAAAAGAAAGTAAATATTTTGAATAACGAGGAATTAATAAAGCTTTGACGGCCGTTTTTATTAAAAGTAAAACTTTTTACTTCACAGTTTTTAATTAATACTAAATTGTATCAATTGTACAAACAGTAAAATGAAATAAAGAAATTATAATTGTGTTGTGATCTTCATTACTAGGACATAAAGATTCAAAGAAATCATAAATTTTATAACACCCTTCAAGATGTAGATCGATAAAATGATTCATATTAACCACATTTTGAGGAAAATTCGATCTTCTTATGACTTCATCCCAGCAAGAACTTTCAACGTCTAATTAAGAAAAGTGACAAAGAGTAAATATTTTTGAGTATAATAAACAGTGGTCTTGAACTCATATTTATGCTTTCACATGGCCAGTCTGTAATTTACATTGCATTGCAACACAAACATTATTTATAATGTAGTATTTATTGAACCATATATTGATAAACTTATAAATTTGTGCAATAGTATAGATTTTTAGTGAAGTATGATGTGAAGAAGTTGAAAGCTTATGTTTCTTTAGACAACTATTGTATTAGAAATGCTACTACTGTGCAGAGAAGATAAGATTGATAGAAACTGGTAATTTAGACAGATTGATGATTGATATGCATATTGCCAAAAATATGCCAACTTGTCAGATACAAGCAGAACACGTGTTCTGCACACGTTATGAAACAGATGATTGGAAAATGTATGTGCCAAAAAAACAATATACACACATGGAAGCATCATCAGTAATTTTTTATGATGAAATTGTTGAAATGCTGAGTGAGTATACCAACATGCAATGTTGGGAAACAGAACCGGAGACATAACTGAAGAAACACTTTAGCACGTGCAACTATGTTGTGAAACAAGTTTACCTTTATAATTCAGAATTTGTAATTGTAGTGACAATCGCAATCTATATCGAAATGATAAGTTCGCAAAGGTTCAGCCTTTTATTAAAGCTTTAAATAAAAACTTCATAGATCATAGAAGCTCACAGATTTATCTCATTCTTTCAATCTAAAGGCAAAAGATCGTGGAATTTTTGAATTTGCTACTTGTGATAATGACAGTATTATTTTGTGCAAATGGTTTGCAATAATGTTGCGAGCGTTGCATCTACTGATATCGATGTAAAACAGTTCTCTTGGAAAGAGGAAAAGAATATTTACATTACACAACCGAACATAATAAAGAAATATAATGAATACATGGCTGGTAATAGGAAACAGAGTATTTTCATATCATAAAATCATAAGTTATAAAAAAAGAAGACGACACTAACATAAATGCCAACCAGGCCCTGAAACAAAACAAGACTGACACTTTGTCCAGTGAGAAATACGTCGGCAAACTTGTAACTGTAAATACAACGAGAAAGAAGCTGAAAAAGTTATTCAACCGATCAAAATAGCATGTTTGAAATAAGTCCATCATGGATTATAATACCTCAGACTTCGAATACGAATTATGCCCCTTTACTGGAAGTAGAAAGTTACTAGAAAAGGCTACATGTACCCATGGTAATGGTAAATCTGTTTTGTAGTATACTAATAAAGAACACAGTAAACTTTACACCAGGAACGAAAGTGAAAAAAAAGATTAAATTTGTTTTCATGAGAAAACAGTGATTAAAATGGTCATCAATCAGGCCATCAATTCGCCTGCATAATATCTTCCCAACGCTTGATTATCAATTACAAATGATACATTATTAGTAAAATTCAAGATGGAATTTTCTTCTTAATAATAATGTACAGAGTCCTTTCAGGAAACAAATCTGTACGACATTGTTGAATGTGTAAAGTAGATGCAAAAATAATAAAATCCATAAAACAAGAAATTTGTGATCCTCATCGTAGTAATTGATGAATTGATATAAAATTTATCGGGTTTCCCCTTTTCTTTACCTTTCAAGTAATTAGTCCAGAATGATACAACGTGGTCCAACACAACGGAAACCAGCAAAAGACGAATCTAAAATATACAATAAACATCCGAATCCAATAACACATCGCAATCAAATATTGGCTAATTAGTTTTTATGATACTAATTAATAAAAATTCGCAGGAAATTTTCGTAGGACCGGCAACCACGTAAATAACGAGCGGTCTGGATATCGGGACACGGTCTTATCTTGCTGGTTGATCGATGAGAAGTAAAATAACTAGATAAGTTGAAGTGCCTACTGGAATGTAGGTATCGGGCTACAACGATTTTAATGAAGAAAAGACCTTCATACAAACATAAATCTAATAGTAATGCATTAGAAATCGCTGCGACAAAAATTTTTATTCTTGCCTTATCCAACACTCCAATAATCGTCCTACACCCCAAAAAAATTGAATTGCAGCAGTAGTGTTAACAAGTTTTTTTTTCGCGCAAAGTATGTGCCAATGAATGGATGTATAAAAAGCCATATTTGCAAAGAAATTGGCATTCAAATACCGCTCAAAATATTGTATTGACCTTTTGACATTACGCCTCTGGTTGTCCGTTCATTACACCTGGTGTTGATACGACAGGCCTATACTGGTCTAAATGATTCATATCCTGGTTCTGTATGTCATCTTTATCCACATTAAAATCCTGCTCGTCATAACCAGACACATTGAAGTCCAATTTTGTATGACGAGTTACCTCGTCAGATAAACGTGATATATTTGTAAATAATATAATTTAAATTAAATAATTATAAGTATTAATATTAATACTATTAATATTTTTTTTAATAATTAATCTGTTTATGTGGAATTGATGAAAATGCCTTAACATTAGCAGGAATTCTGCCAAAAAGTATGGCCAAAACAACCGTTCACCGCATTTTAAGGAAGCAGTTGCTTTATCAATATTATTACAACACTTCTCGAGCTTTAACAAAAATGATAGCGAAAACGATAGATTTTTTCTAGGTGGGCCTTACATTAAGAGGTCCAAAACGTCGACTTTGAAGCAACATTTACTCAAAACGAAATTTTTAATATTCATAATGCGCACATTTTCATTGATAAATGTCCCCATACAATACTAGAAACTCATCATCAGTGGCGATTCAGTGTTAATGTATGGATCGGCGTTATAGGTGACCAGTTATTAGGTCCATTTTTTCTTCCAAAGAGATTAACAACCGATGCATCCATACACTTTTTTACAAAATTAGCTTACAGAGAGATTTGGTGAATTACTTCTGCAAATACTTGCAAACCTGCAGGTAATCTTGTATAACCTGCAAGATTGCTGCTTCATACACGATGGAGCACCACCACATTATGCCCGCGCTACTCGAGCATACTTAAATGACAGATTTAATAAATAGAATTTGAATTTAGATTTAAGAATTGGCGGAAGATCCTGTTACGTAGCCAACTCGTTTACAAGATTTAAATCCGTTAGATTTTTGGTTTTGGGGACATTTAAAACAAATAGTTTATTGTGAAGAAGTTCAAAACGCATTTAAAGAAGTAAAACAAATTACCGGTATCTTTTAACGCATTTGAAGTTAATTTAAATAACATATACGTTTGTGTTTAGAAGTAAATGATGCGCATATTAAACATTTATTATGACATCATTCTGTTCCAATTTGTTGTTTTTATGGTGGTTGAAGGATTTTCAGGAAGATTGTTGAATCATTGTTACTTTGTTTTGTTAAATTATTAATGTACTGTTCTAATCTACTGTGTAATTTTCTTAATATTAACTTATTATTTAAACCAAAACTAGAATCTTTCGGGTTAAGCCGTGCGTCTTTCGAAAAAATATTCGACGTTTCGGATGCCATGTTGCAACCTTCTTCAGAAACAAGTTCGAAGTGATGAAATCAGTTAAAATTTGACAATAAATACATGAAAAGATAATTAATAACTAATTAGTGTCTAATTGTCAACTTAGTTGTTTTTATCAAATCCGGGTGGAAAAGGTTTAATTAAGTTGACTAGCATCTTTCATGTGCGGCTGAGTTCCCAACCGTCTTCCCTATTCATATTATTCCCATGTCAATGAATCTCTATCGCCTCTTTCGTCAATCTTTGGAAGTAATGTCCATTTCTTACTAGTACTTTAGTTTTGTCAAACTCTATGGTGTGTCCTCCTTTGTGGCAATGCTCTGCGACTGCAGGTTGTTAGATTCTACTCAGTCGGACATCCTTGTCGTGTTTCTTAATGATAGATTCCCCCTCCCTTTAATAGGGTTAGTTTGTCTTTGGCTATCGGATGAACGTTTTGTATTTTGCTGACCGTACCGTATCTTACCACGATATCATTCTTCTTCAGACACATCACAATTCGATCCGTCACACCTAAAACATAAGAAAGGCAGTTAAAACCGACTGGTGTCGTACTTATAGAGTTATTCTTCGCTCGTTGGATATCCCTCATCGTATAGTCGTTCTTCTGCAGTACGTCTTCTAGAAATCTTTCTTTTTTCCTCAGGTTCCCTTTATCACATATCCTCTCTGATCGCTGGAATAAGGTTTGAATCACGGACCTCTTTTGTTGTGGGTGGTTGTGGAATGAAGCCTGCAGGTACCAATATGTATGCGTCTTCTTTCGATATACTCCCAGTTCCATGCCCCCATCTGTCTTTCTAGTGACCAACACATCCAGGAATGGCAACTGTTTTGCAGTTTCTGTTTCCATGGTATATTTTATCATGGGGTAATTTAATGAATTGAGGTGGTCTAGAAATTCCTGGAGTTGCTCTTTT